ATACATATTATAGAAATCAAACATAGCTCACGTAGGACCCGTAATATTTGTGGCCGTGGTGCTTCCCTGTTTAAAAGGGTGTATGCCCATTTTACTTCATTTTGTCTCCCGCTTTGCTAAGGAGGGAAGTGGATTTACTGTATTTCCAACTCCTCCAATTTTCTTCTGATTAATTTCGTTGCGGGTTCCAAGACAGTTTAATTTCTTCCTGGGACTTCCCGAGTGTCATAACTCGGTGTGTTCGTGGGTCACTGCTGTGGATCCTGGTGTACAGGGGTTACAGTGGTGGGCGTGTGGGTGGGATTAGTCCCAATGAAAAAAAAAAAAAAAAACTGCTGTTATTAAGGTAGGATTCCAGCAAAATAGTGTGCAGCACATTTGTTCACAAACATTCTGTGCAAAACTCCAGCTTAGTACGTACTAAGCTGGTGTCGCGTTTAACCTCTGTCTCCACCGGCAAGGCTGTGTGTAACTTTTGTAAGCGCACAGTTTAGCACACTTGTGCGCGAACATGTTCACTGAGCAGAAATTTCTGCCTTCAGTTGTTAATATGGACGGGCAGGAAAACGTAGTGCTTTGTGCTGCAGCCTGTGTTTTATTATGTAGTCTGCTTAAAAAGAAACGAAGAAAGAAACCGCGATGTTGGGTGAGGGCGTTCCTACAACGACGCGATGAAGAAACGAATAGATTTGTAGAAGAAATAAAAATAGATCCATTGAGTGGATTAAAAAATTTCACTCGAATATCGTGCGAAGATTTTGAGTTGCTGGTTAATGCAGTTAGTCCTCTTATTGCTAAGCAAGATACCAGCTACAGAAAATGTGTCCCTGTTTCAATAAGGCTTGCAATTACCTTAAGATTTCTTGCTACTGGAGATTCTTTTGCAAGTTTAATGTATTTATTTAAAGTTTCAAAAGAGCTTATTGCTCGGATTGTACCTGAGGCCTGTAAGGGGTTGATAAGCGTGTTGAAATAAAAAATGAAATCACATATAATTTATTTACTTTTATTGCATTAAATATCATGCCAAGTTGCTGTCAAGCTGTCATTCTGGCGTAAAAGATCTGAGTAATCATTATCGTGGACCTCAAAAGTTGAAGCTGGTCCTTGACTCTGAGAATTCGACGAATCTGAATACGGTGAAGGCATTGGAGTCGTAGCATATTCCCAATACCAATAATAGCGTCATACAATAAATTATCAATATCCCTTTGCACTAAAATCTTCGTACGTTCATCTTTAATTTTCCTTAATTTCGTTGCGACAGCTGCAGCAAAAATATCGTCATCATCATGTTTTTTGTCTTCCATCTGCTTCTTTACTTTATCCATAATGTTCAAAGCATGGGCAATTCTCGGGTCTTCATCAACAGCACGACGTTTCAGCGAGTTCTTTGGAGCCTTAAACTTTTCGACTGGCCTTTCATTAGGAGTTTCTTGATCTTCATTTATTGTGTGTTCCTGGATATCTTGTATTAGCTGAAATAATAATAACATTTCCTTTTTCAGATGCCTAATACTTTAGAAGAATTGATGATTGTAGAGCGTCAATTTGAGCATCTTTGGAATTTCCCTAATTGCATTGGGGCTATGGATGGCAAACATGTTGTTATTCAAGCTCCAAATAATACTGGAAGTGACTTTTTTAATTACAAAGGTGATTTCAGCATTGTACTTTTAGCACTGGTTGATACAAATTATAAATTTACGTACGTAGATGTCGGTTGTAAAGGAAGAATATCAGATGGTGGTGTCTTCAAAAATACTGGTTTCTATGCTAATCTTCAGCAAGGAAAATTAAATTTGCCTCAATCTTATGCGCTATCCGGATGAAACAAACCAATTCCACATTTGATTGTGGCAGATGATGCTTTTACATTAGATATGAATTTAATGAAACCATATCCCGGTCAACATGACAAAAGATCAAAAGAAAGAATTAATAATAATAATAATAATTAATTAATTAATTAATTATATTTTTAATTATCGGTTAAGCAGAGCGAGACGCATTGTGGAAAATGTATTCGGGATTTTGTCCGCTGTATTTCGCGTAGGAAACCTATTCTGTTAGCTCCAGAAAAGGCACAATTAATAACACTCACATGTTGTTACTTGCATAATTTTTTGATAACACAAAAGTCGTCTTCACAACTTTATACTTCGCTTCGCAGTTTTGATACTGAAAACCAAATTACTCACAATACTATCGATGGAACCTTAAGACATGTCGGAAGAAGACCCTCTGGCGATGCAAAAGACATAATAGACGAACTTGCATATTATTTCCAAACTGACATCGGAATGGTGCCATGGCAAGAAACACTAGCATAGTATATACTCATAAGTAATCTATACAAATAAATGAAATTGGAATGTCTGTTTGTAATATTAAAATAACCGCTTTTTACTAAATGCATATGTATGTATACACGGTACATTAGCCAAAATAACATTTTTTACTGTAAAAAATGTTATCTATACACATAAATAAAATTTGAGTGTCTGTTTGTAATATTAAAATAACCGCTATTTAATAAATGCATATGTATGTACACGGTACATATGCCAAAATAACATTTTTTACAATTTTTGTCTGTCTGTCTGTTCCGGGTAATCTTTGGAACGGCTGGACCGATTTCGACGGGACTTTCACTGGCTGATAGCTGATGATATAAGGAGTAACTTAGGCTACTTTTTTTAGACTAGCTTCACCCCGCGGCGTTGCCCGCGGTTACAACAACAAACCGCGGAGCTCAGCTAGTAAAATATTCAGTTTAAAAATAAAAAAATATAAAACGTACATACTTGTTCGTTTATTTCGTCTTGTGAGTTCATGCTAGCGTTGGGCTCGTCCCTTCCGTGAAAGAAATTCAAATATGCATAACCAAACCATTTTGGCTTATATATATCTGAAATTCCAGAACCTGAAGATTTTGAATCCGCGATTTTCTTCTTTTCTCTTCGGTATTGAGCCAAAATAATCTTCCACTTCTCATTACCTCAGTCGAGTCACAACTGAAACTCTGAGCCAACTCTTGAGTGGGGTCGTGTTTTTTATTTCTATTTTTATAATCATTGTGACTGGAATCCCATAGTAGAGGATACGTTTCAATAGCCTGAATAATTTTTATAATTTTATCATTCGTCCAATCCATATTTTACTTTGTGAAACGGTGTGCGCGTACAAATAAATGTTTTCGCTCCGATAGTGGAAGCAAGACTGAGTTCGCGAACAACAGGTGTGTAAGCGTCGACGCGAGTCCACTGCTTGTATGTGTGCACGCACAAAAGTACACAGATGTGCGCGAACATTCTAGATATGTTCGCGTACAATTTGTTGTTGTTTGCTTGAGTGAGTCGACTAGAGTGAACATTTGTGTCGTACACTGTGCATAGCAGGGCCGCACAGTTCAGCACACTGGTGGAATCGCATCTTTAAGACATCCGGCTGCCTCTTAGCGCCTGCCCGCAAAGGCGCGGGCGCCACCTTCAGGTACATTCTCCATTTAGGAGACGTACAGCACACGCTGACATAGCCTCCCCGCCGAATGGCGGGTGGAGGAGAAAATCCATCCCGTCCACCCACGGGCCACACTCAGGGCGGCATGAGGCGGTGGTAAGCGCGCCTCCGCCGCCCGGTCCGCCGGCGACAGATTGGGTCCGAGTTGAGGTTGTCCTCTCGGGCCCACTCCGCCGCCTCCTTCTGCGAGATGACGTCTTCGCAGAAGGATGCGACCGCGGTAACACATCTGTCACTACGGGCCATGGAGCGTATGACGGCCGGTAACGAAAGATGACCCCGATGACTGCAATGAGGACCCATCGCGGTGGTGACAGGCGGGACTCAATTCCCTCCTAGCGACCGAGTGCAGGTACTTCGAAAAGCAGCCGTGCCCGGAAAGGACCGGCGTCAGCCGGAAGGAAAGGGTAAACAGTCTGGTTACCATAGCACAGGCTCTGCCTAGTTTGGGATTTGACGTGTGTCAGATGTATTAGTATTATTACTAAATTAGGTAGGTATGTATTGTTTTTATTTTTATTGTTACGTGTAGAGGGGCTCGTGGCTAAGTTGTAACAGCGTAGGTTGACACTTTGCAAAGTTAAGCACTCCTAACCAGGTCAGCCTATGGAGGGGTGAACATTCTTAACACATTGAGACCCCTCCGTGCCTCAGAGAACACGTTAAGCCTTCGTTCCCGTTTGCCATATGAATATCTGTTGCGATCGTTACAGGCAGTTAGGAGCCTTAAGAAGTCCAACAACAGTCTTTCTACAGAACTTCGATATCGATGTTGAATCGAAGTTCAGGCGTATCGTAGTAGACTTAAAGCCGACCCCAACCTAGTTTGGGAAAAGGCTCAGAGGAGAATACAGGTAGACCTTAGTACTGTCTGGTACGGTCTAGTTTCCGTTATCCAATAATATTAAGTATCCATCCATTAAATAATTTAAAAAATCTTCACAGAAGAAAATCGATCAAATAGTACGTAAAGTACTAGAAGATTTTTATGTGGAGAAAATTATTAATTCATCATCAGCCTATCGCAGTCCACTGCTGGATTTTCGACTTCTCGCGTCCAGCTATTGCGTAGATCGTCATTCCACCTGGCCTGTGAGTCTAGACGCGGTCTTTACTCAAGGGCTCGTCTACCCCAACGGATGTCGGTTCTGTGGCTAATGTATACCTACATTATTAATTATTTATTTCAATGTATTTATTTCCAAACAACCAACCCAGCACTAAAGGAATTAATGATGCAAAAATTTAAAGTACATTCAATGAGAAGGGTAAGCTATAGGTAGAGCAGATTAGGGTTGAATACCTGGATGGTGTCTGTGTGTTTTTGCCGAGGAGTCTAAGTCCTGTCATTTTATAAGGAAAAATGATCAGTACTTATAATTATCTATTTATATGTATAAAAAGTTTGAAAAAGTCTGAAAATACACAATTGGACAAATAGGGTTTAAGAAAACTAAAGTCGATTTCTAAGTGACTTGTTAATATGATGAGCCTTTGTGCTCTGGTAATAAGAAATAAATTGTGACAGGTCCCTTCGAAGTGTGCACTATTTCCTTATGCCTAATTAATTGAGTTGCTGCTAGTCCATACAGAAAACAGGGAATACCTGTAAAAAAGTACATTAAAATATATATAATTTTGGATATAAATATATTTATAAAAAAACATATGTATCTTAGATGTCGAAAATTTAAGGATCTTAAATAAAACCTAAACCAGATGTTATGTTTAGTTAGCTTAGTAGTTCTGTTTCTATGGTTTTACTTTCTACTAGCTACTTCATTAGAAAACATAGAGCAAGTTCAAAGGGAGAAGGAGAACTTGGAACAAAACCCTGTACCATTGGTACAGGTCTGGCCAGCGTGGCATTGTAGGCCAAAACCTCCTTTCTTAAGAGATGCCTGTGTCCAACTGTGGATTACTAAAGGCTGTTGATGTAGTTTAATAAAAGTAATTAGTCTGCAATAAGAAATTTATTTTGTTTGTCTATCAGAGGATTGTAATAGTAATAACCTTAGTTGTTGTAGGACATATAGACAATCTATACACTATTCCATTTTTAGAAACTCTGTTATAGTGAACTATAAAACTAACATCACAATCATAAATACAAATTGTGACCTTGGCAAAAAAACAAAATGCACATACAATTTATGTGATGTGTAAATTGCTTTGCTACTTTCAATAGAATAATAACTGTCAAGAGTGGATCACACACTTTTGGAAACCCTTTCTAGATAGTTGTATAGCTTCTATAGAGTAACTTTGTCAGCTAGTGCTGTTTGCATTTGAGATAATCAACAAACTGTAATCAACAAACATACATACCAAAATTTAAAACTTTTATTATTTTCATGAATTTGTCTGAGGTTCCTAAGTCCTCGGCTTTTCTCCGAGAACAATGGTATTTAATATATGGGAAGCAGCCAGTCCTTAATATTTGATAATTAGATTTTCCAACCTTCCAGTTAAAGTTTGACATACCAAATTGGTCATTTACAACACTAGTCTGCTAGAAAAAAGACAGCATAAGTGTAGTTTAAAAAGTTAAATTACAGTGAGATAGACTCAATACTTCTATTTAAGTGACAATAATCTTGCAGTATTCAACTAAATGCATGTTTTCACCTAATATTTATCCAATACCTTGACAAAGTAAGATGTCCACGGAGGTTCATTGCACTGAGTCAAATACGCTGTTAATACTTCGGAAGCCGTAGGTCTTGAGAAAAAGAATGCTACTTGATATTTTATTATGATAGTTTTACTCAACAATTTAATATTTGTTGTTATATATTTATTACGTAAACAAAGAATATGACAGGCCATGTGTTTGGGGGAAGATTTGGGATAATTACGAAAATTAAACAACTGGACTTGTTTCTAATGACAGAAGTCAACGTGTAATAAAAAATGACATACAGTTTTTAAAAATATATAAGAAGCCTATCAAGATCCAACAACACTCGCTCCTTTCATGCGCTGCCAGTAGTATTTTGATAGGCGCTTGAACATGCCCCCGGGCGTTGAAGGCTATGCTTTCAACCAACTACATCATCTGAAGAAACTGGCAACGGGCAGATCCTATTAAAGGCCCTCCTTATGATTCCAGTGGACGTCCGGATGTCAGCAACTCGAACAATTCCGTCTGATCCAGGGTGGACTGCAACAATTCTTCCTAGCTTCCACTTCAAGGGAGGAAGATTGTCCTCCTTCACTACAACCAAAGAATTTAACCTTAAACTGTCCTTACAGGAGGGCCACTTGGTCCTCTGTTGGAGTTCAGTAACATATTCTCTGCTCCATCTAGCCCAGAAGTGTTGGCGAAGTTGTTCAATTCTATGGTAGCGAGACAACTGATTCGTAGAATGATCTTGTAGGTTAGGTTGTGGCAACGAAGTGAGTGGTCGACCAATGAGGAAATGTCCTGGTGTTAAAGGTGTGTCATCATTAGGGTCAGACGACAACGGTGTTAGCGGACGGGAATTCAAAATCGCCTCTATTCGTGTCAATATGGTGTAAAGTTCCTCGAACGTGACGTTACAATTGCCCAACACTCGCGTTAAGTGATATTTTGTTGACTTGACACCCGCCTCCCAGAGTCCGCCAAAATGAGGACTATATGCGGGTATAAAGTGGAACCTAATTCCATCATTGGCCACACTTTCACCTAAGGAAACTGCATTAGATTTTAAAATTTTTGAGAGATCGTTATAAGCACCGAAAAACGAGGTACCGTTGTCAGAATATATATTAATGGGCTTTCCTCTTCTCGCAATAAATCGGTACAATGCTAATAAATAATTATTGCTAGTTAAGTCACTTACTAGCTCTAAGTGTACTGCCTTGGTGGTAAAACAAATAAATATCGCGATATACATCTTTACTAGCCTGCATCCTCGACCTTGGCGACTAGCACACATGATAGGGCCGGCATAATCTACGCCTGTACTTTCAAACGGGCACCCGGGAAGGAGCCGCTCTCGTGGTAAATTGCCCATCAAAGGGGTAACTACATTTCCCTTCATTCTACGGCATCGTATGCATCGATGAAAACTGCTTTTGGCTAAATTACGACCACCAATAGGCCAATAGGTCTCTCTAATCGAGGCTAACAATAATTGAGGACCCGCGTGCATTAATCTCTCATGCTCATAATAAAATAATAACTTAGTAAATTCATGATTGGACTGTAATATAATAGGATGTTTTTTGCTATAAATAAAATCTGAATTATTGAGACGTCCTCCAACACGCATTATCTTTTTATTATCTAAATAAACATTATATTTAAGAAGAACGCTCCCGTTAGGTAAATCTTTTTTATTTATTAATAAGTTATGCTCAGAAAAAGATTCGTTTTAACTATGAAAGACCAATATATTTAATGCGTCTTGTAACTCGTTTTCGGAGAGAAAAGTGTTATCAACCTTTTGCTTTCTGCATAATTTAATAAATCTAAGCACGTAAGCAACGGAACGCACGAGCCGTAAATATTTTGAAAATCGTTTAAAGTTAATAAAACAATTTTGACTACTAATACCGTTCAAAACAGCATTTAACGAAATATCGGAACGAGTTTCCGGTAACACGTCTAGTCCTATGTGCTCATACTTCGAGGGCCAATTGCACATATCTGACCTTAGAAAGTCCGGACCCGACCACCACAGATTTGAGTTTTGCAGAGTTTTAATATCGATGCCACGCGATAGTAAATCTGCTGGATTTTTATCGGTTGGGACGTGTTTCCAGGTACAATTACCCGCCTTATCTAGAACTTCAGCAACACGGTTGCGTACAAAAGGTTGAAGTCTAGAAGGCAACATTTGTAACCATCCCAACACGATGGTCGAGTCGGTCCAGCAGTAGGCACGACTGATAGGTGCTCGAAGTGAGCAACGGACTTTTTCATATAAACGTGCTCCCACTACTGCTCCACATAACTCCAACCTTGGGATAGTTGTAGGTTTGAGCGGCGCCACACGACTTTTAGCCGTTAATAAACGAACTAAACACTCACCGTAGTCATTAACACTTCGAATGTAAACGCACGCACCGTACGCGCGCTCAGAAGCATCTGTAAATATATGGACCTCTAACTCCCTGTATTTATTGCAAACTATCATACGTGGGATACGAAAACTATTTAATAAAGGTAAAGATTTAATTATAGTGCACCAACGCGTATTAATCTGAGGCTTAAGTGGTTCATCCCATGATGACTTATCCAACCACATCTGTTGCAACAACATTTTCATCACAATTACACAAGGAGACAGAAGACCTAAGGGATCGAAAATACGTGCGATTACTGAGAGCAAATCTCGCTTAGTACTTACATTAGAAGATAAGTTTATGCTTATCGAAAAACCAAGCTGATCAGAGTTGGCGTACCAAATGAGACCAAGCAGCTTATGGAGCTCACTAGATCCCAGGTTTAAATCAAATGATGAGTCAACAGACTCAGATACCAACTCAGGTTCATTCGACTTCCACTTTCTTAGTGACATGCCAGCTGAGGTCAGCGCTTTTGTGACTTCCGTGCGAATTAATTTTAAATCATCTAAATTCATGCTGCCAGTGCACAAATCATCAACATAAAAATCATGCTGAATGATTTCAGATATTTTTTTATTCCTACATTCAAGACCTATCTGCTTCAGACAACGAGTGGCTAGATATGGCGCACTCGCAGTACCATACGTGACCGTGTTCAACTCATAAACCTTAATCGGTTCATTAACGTTATTACGCCAAACTATTTTTTGCAAGTGCCTATCATACGGATGCACGACTATCTGTCTGTACATTTTTTCGACGTCAGCAGTCAAAACGTACTTATGCTGTCTAAATCGAAGGAGTATAGACAGCAAATCATCCTGCACTGTAGGCCCAACCATTTGTAAGTCGTTGGAACAAACGCCAGTCGAAGTAGGACAACTTGCGTTAAATACGACACGAAGCTTTGTCGTACTGCTACATTCGCGTAATACTCCGTGATGTGGTATATAATAATTATTTGAATCCAAAACATATGGTTTCACCTCAGTCATATGGCCTAACATCTCATACTCAGACATAAAGTCGTGGTACATTTTTCTAACGTCAGGCTTAACCTTTAACCTACGTTCTAAGGAGTACAAACATTGCGTTGCCCTTTTAAAAGAATCTCCTAAAATAGAGGGGTTTTGTTTCAGAGGTATACGAACACAAAAACGTCCGTCATCTAAACGTGTAGTATTGTTAATAAAATGATCCTCACAGAACTTCTCCTCGGGTAAGTAACGAGAGGAACTCACACCTATCTCTTCTAACTGCCAGAACCGCGACAAGTCACATCTAATTTTATCCCAATTATCGTCAGTTTCAGTAGCAATTTTAGTAAAGTTACACCTTATGTCATTGGAAAGTAATGTGAAATAATTATGAGTAATAGGACCGGCGACTATCCAGCCTAAACTGGTTTCACAAAGTATTGGTTTACCGATACCTAATTTAATTCTTTGCGATCCTAATAAGTCCCAAAAGAGGTCAGCACCAATCAATATATCCACATCACTGGGCTTGTAAAATGTAGGATCAGCTAAACATATGTTCGAAGGTATATTCAAGTCGGAAATCTTAATCTCACGACACGGTACAGTGTTTGTAATAAATGGCAAAACAAAACAATGTAGTTTATAATTAAAACTATCACTTAAAGACGTAATGTTCACATGACACATTTCACCTACGTGGGTAGATACGTTATTAACGCCAAGAATTGATCTACCTACCTTATTTGTTACTAATTTCAATGTTTTACAAAGCCTTTCTGTAATAAAACTAGCTGTGCTACCGCTGTCGAGTACTGCACGAACTATGTGCACTTGATTGTTATAGTCATATAGTTTAATCAAAGCGGTTGATAACAACACGTCGCGATGTTTACGTTCGCCGCAGTAAGAAGCGACGCTTGCCGATAATGCTACATTATCAGTATCGGGGGTGGCAGACGTTAACGGAGAAGACACACAGTTAGAATTACTATGTGTGCTTTGTTTACAGCTGATCGCAACACCTTTAGAATCCGATATGTGTATTAGTGTGTTATGTTTACGCTTACAAAGTTTGCAACCTGGCTTCTTGCAATGGTTTGCAAAATGACCTGATTTAAAGCAATTAAAACAAACCTTGTAAGTTGGCAATAACTTAAGACGTTCGTCATTACTCATTGCAAGAAATTGTGGACAATTAGTTAAGATGTGGTCCCCTTTACATATACAGCATGCTTTATTGTTTAGTTGCATTGCAGAAGGTTGGGAAGATTGGATCGTCACCATAGATTTAATCCTAGGACGCAAGCTACTGACCGTCTGAGACTGAGTACGCGACAGTTCTAATGTTTCGATTAAATCAGCACGAGAGCGCAAAAACTGCACGAAAGTAGCCAACGTTTTTACGTTGTCCTTTTCTAACCTACTTTTGTGCTCCTCCCACTCCCTAAATGTTTTATGATCCAACTTACGGGTGATTATATAAATTAACAGCGTGTCCCAGTGCTGAACTGGCTCACCCAATGACTCAAGCGCACGTAAGTTTTTATTTATCTGGTCTATTAAGCCCTTTAAATTAGCTGATGATTCTTTGACGATAGGATCTATAGTAAATAAACCTGACACATGATTTTGCACCAATAATTCCTTATTGTCGAAGCGGTCACATAATGTCTTCCACGCCACAGAATAGTTGCTTGCTGAAAATTCTATAGATTTAATAACCACAGCAGCAGTTTCCTCCAGACACGCTCGCAAATAATGAAATTTGTTTATTGCGTCAATCTCGTCATT